AACCAGTCACAAAACAGATGTATTACTGCAGTTATATGCATCACTAATGATGTCATTAATGCTTATACTGAGAGCCAATATAACTATTTCAATTCAACCATTCTTTTTTTTTTTTAATTTTTTTTTAAGGTTTTTTTTTATTTATTTCTAGAGAGAGAGAGAGAGCGTGAGCAGGGGAGGGTCAGAGAGAGAGGGAGTCACAGACTGAAACAGGCTCCAGGCTCTGAGCTGGCAGTCAGCACAGAGCCCGATGCGGGGCCCGAACCCACGAACCGTGAGATCATGACCTAAGCGAAAGTCGGACGCTTAACCGACTAAGCCACCCAGGCGCCCCTCAACCATTATTTTCAACTATCATTGCTGGAAAAAACCCATCATTGGTACACTTTTATTTTGCATTAAGTATAAAAGATTAATTCTTCATAGTAACAATTATGACTTTGAAATACCCCAAATATCCGTTTTTATCTCAGAGCATGGCTGAACGAAGTATGTGACTTGGCCTTATGTTACACGTCACTTTCAGTTTGAGGAAAGAAATGAAAAAAAACCTATCATACCAAGGTGGTGATAAAACATGACCTTTCTGAAGCTCAAAATGATATTACATCAAAAAGACACATGAGGGCACTCTAATCAACCAGCCAAAAGAAATAGAAAAGCTAGTGAAATCAGGTTGACATTTTAACAAACAGACCAAAATAGGTTAAGTAATAAGCATTGGTAAAATTGTGAATGTTGGTAATTTATAGCAAAAGATTTTCTGTTCTTTACCCAAGTTCTAAGAAGCCTAAAGGATTTTGCATTTCTGTAAACTGGAGAAATAAAGTACCACTCTAAGATCCAAGTAAGGATTAACCACACACTTTCCTAATAATTTGTTACATTGACCTTGGGGTAGAATTTGCCCCTTTCAAGCAAAGATCTTCTAGATCATCTACAATTCCACTTGGTATTTTATCTGTCTTCCACTGGGAACAGTCCATTAATCCATTTCTTTGCTCCATCTGTTTTCCTAGGAGAAACAGTGAATGAAAAGTTTGAGCCTTCCCCCAAATGAAATTGCACTTTGCATAAAGGAGCAAAGATCACTGAAGAACATCTCCTGGCCTTTTTGAATTTTGAAATTTATAAATACAGCTATAGCATACAATTTCCTCCATCAAATTAAAAAAGTATAGTATAACAAGCATTTAAATAACTTTCCTTTCAGAACCTTAACAAGACAGCAACAATAACTACAAAAAGCCATGGGCTCTGAGGAAATCAGGCTCATTCACTAACGATTATCACTAATCTTAAAGCCATGTTCAAATTTGTGCCTCAGCACAAACAATCTTTGGGGTCAAATGTAAGAATTAAAATGGAAAGTATGAAAACTTTGAATGCTAAGTCAACCTAATAAATTTTGGTTGACTTAATAAACTAGAAGATTCTCTTCACGTCTAGAACTATCTATAGAAAGTATGACACATGCTGCATTCTTGAACTGCTTCTTTTATTCACTTTAAACTTCATCTATTTGAATGACCAAATTCCTGGATATGATGTTCCAAATTAAATTTGTCAATGTATTCAGTATTTTTTTTGTTCCACAATGTTTTTGTTAAGGACCCTGATGAATTCTAGTTTCTATCTTTTGCTGAACTGGCCACTGAGACATAGTCAATGAGGCTCAGTTTATACTAATAACAGAATATGCTATAAAATATGTTGATTTAGAGGCTACACTTCCAATTTTCCAGTTCCTTAAAAGTGATTCTGGTTAACTGAAGGTGCCAATAAAATGTTTTTAGTTAAACAAAGCCACCTGAATACTGCATAATATTGTAGACAGTCATTAAAATCCTTTGAGTTAGTATCTAAGGAGGAGATATCCAAAGATTACTTTATAATGACATCCATGGTCTTCTCTTGGGTGTATGAAAAGCCACCAAGGGAGTGATGTATAAAGTTAGAGAACTATAAATGGTATTAGAGGATAAACTGAGCAGTATAAAAACTAACCTGGGCACTCAACTTAATTGGCATGATATGCTATGGACCCCTTCATGTTATCAAGAAAGTTTCCCAACTTTAATTTTTTATCAATAATCTTTTTCAAAGATCTAAGTTAATCACATTTGAAGCTAATTTTAAGGGGAACCTGGGTGGCTCAGTCGGTTAAGCATCTGACTTCAGCTCAGGTCATGATCTCACAGTTCGTGGGTTCGAGCCCCGCGTCGGGCTCTGTGCTGACTGCCAGCTCAGAGCCTGGAGCCTGTCTTCCGATTCTGTGTCTCCCTCTCTCTCTCTGACCCTTTCCTGATCACACTATCTCTCTATCAAAAATAAATAACACATTAAAAAGAAATAGAATCAACAAGATATGGTCATATTGTGCATGGGGAGGGTATTTTGGGAAGTCATAATCTCAAAAACTTTATTGAATGTGCTCAATAAAATATATTTCATTGATATAAATGTAAAAACATGACTTATTACTACATTATTCCTGAACCAGCGCACAAAGTTCAAAATTTTAGGCCATGGGATAATCAACTCTATGGGAGGCATGACCCACAAAAGAAATCTAACTTACCAAGTGTTAAAGTTTTTGAAACCACTTTGCGATGTTGATAGTAATTTTTCCTTAAAGATCATCTAAAAATTACCAAATTAGTTTTAATATGTAACACATGGATTGAAAGTAAAGAGGGAAAGGGGCACCTGGGTGGCTCAGCTGGTTAAGTGCCCAACTTCAACTCAGGTCATCATCTCACGGTTTGTGAGTTCAAGCCCCCTCATCGGGCTCTGTGCTGACAGTTCGGAGCCTGCTTCAGATTCTATGTCTCCCTCTCTCTCTCCCTGCTCCTCCCCTGCTTGCATTCTCTCTCTCAAAAATATATAAACATTTTAAAAAAAAAAAAAAAAAAGGAAAAAAGAAAAAATGAAAGAGGGAGGGACTGGGATTATAGATAGAACACTTTCTTTTCCTATGAGGCATATTTTGGCTGTTAAAGAAAAAGATTTTTTAATGTCTCTGTCTCTCTCAGAATCTGAAGGAGGCTCCAGGCTTTGAGTTGTCAGCACAAAGCCGGACTCTGGGCTCGAACTCACGAACCATGAGATCATGACCTGAGCTGAAGCTGGATGCTTAACCAGCTGAGTCACCCAGGCACCCCAGGCATATTTTGATTCTTAAAGGAAAAAATAAGTTACTACTTTTGTTCCTTTCTATGTTTTCACATTTGTAAATAAGTTAAGCAGGAGGATATTATGAACAAACCAAAGTATAGGTAAAGTAAACCTTGGCTCTTTGATACTCTCAGTTAAATGAGTTTTTAACGGAAAAAATGATTCACATTTGCACGTCTTCTCACCAAGCACACCAAATGTGATTTATCCTTTATTGAGGACACCTGGTCTGTGTTCCAACCACTTAAGTGAATTTCTTTTGCACCAATAACCTGAGCCCTCTTCATGGAAGGCCCTGGCCTACTCATCTTTCTTATCAGCTTAAACTGATAAGAAAGCAGTCTTGTCCAGGAAGCTATCTCCCTCCTGTCTCCCACCCCATTATCCTCTAATTCCCCAAACCCTGAACTCGCTCTTCTTTTACCATGAATGTAAATATTACCATGATTATAACTTTGGCTTTCCTTTCTTTTTCATTAAATCGCATACTTGTTTAGAGCAAGGCAGTGACTTTAAATTCTGCATTCTCGGGAGCCTGGGTGGCTCATTTGGTTAAGTGTCCGACTTTGGCTCAGGTCATGATCTCAGTTTGTGGGTTCAAGCCCCGCATGGGGCTCTGTGCTGACAGCCAGCTCAGAGCCTAGAGCCTGCTTCAGAGTCTGTGTCTCCCTCTCTCTCTGACCCTCCCCTGCTCACACTCTCTCTCTCTCTCTCTCTCTCTCTCAGAAATGAATAAAACATTAAAAAGAAAAAAATAAATTCTGTGTTCTTAAATGTTTTACACACTGACCTAGGAGCAAATTGACAATCAAGGTCTACTGATCTGTACCCTTCTCCCTACATGAACAGGCTGAAATGGAAGCAGTTTTGAAGTTAAATCTACTTTAATACTTTCTCTGACTTCTTTTCAGAAAACAACTGACACTTCAGAGAGTATATGCCTGTAGTGTGTGTGTGCGTGCATAAGGGCACCCATGCTTTGGAAAAGTATGTTCAAATAAGAAAACAAACCTTTTGGTTTTGTATAAAAATCACAGAAAGTAAAGCTTGACAATACTTGGCTGCAGGAACACGAATTTTAAAAGGTTGAAAAACGGCATCTCACACCTAATTATGCTATTAATTCCATACAGATAGAATACACTAGTTAGATCTATGTACAATACGAGTAAAATGGCCCAAAATAAAGGTCTTGGAAGCTTTTCTATAAGCCAAGTGTTTGGGTTTTGAGATGCAAAGACTTTTCCAGATATACTGGCATGTTTAACCTTGGCTCACGCAGTTTCTAGGTTGGTATACTTCCTCTCAGCCCACTGTTACAGGATTTAAGACTCAAATCCTCCAAGATCACACACTGACTTCGTGTCCCTCTCTGAATTCCTAGGGCAGTTAAAAATCTATAGCACAAACTTTAATAAGTGGTTACCCTCTGCTCAATAGTGTCTACTCATTGCTAACCAAAGCCGCCTCAACAACGGTGGGGAAAAACGCTAATCAAGTGCCTGCAGCACGAAAGCAGTTAACCTATTAACACTCACGTGGCAGCTGAGAAATCAACTCCGGCTCGTAAAGCCCAACCTTAGTTTGCAGTAAAAGAAACGCGACAGAGTGAACGACTTTAACCAAAGCAACCCGCCAATGAATGGATAAGATCTTCGGAAGGTAGCTGGTGGTGAGGGGTGGGCGGAATAAGAATCAAACCTCCTCAACAGCCGCTTTCCTTGGTCCACCCCACTTTCTGCTTCCCTTCCCAAAGTGGAAACGACGAAGTCTAAAAGGATATGGCATCACCTTTGTCCTATGACCTAGGAACGGAGACTCACCAGTTTCATACTGGACTTTTGGTTGTTCAGTACCAAACACTCCACTTCTCAAACGCAGAAAGCGTCTTCCGGTTCAATCCCTGCCACCAGTCCGCCGAGAGCATCGCGGGACATGCAGTCCTTTTTTTCTCCACGCCCCCTTCTTGGGCATGATGGGAAATGTAGTCATCTCTCCATGCATCATGGGAACTGTGGTCATCTTTCTTTTTTGTCCCGTTCCTCTTCAACGCCTCCCTCGGTCAGCTCAAATTCATCCTCGCCGCCAATTCATCCTCCCTCTGCACCCCAGCATGATATCATGTCCCCTAGCCGGGCCTGGGACCCATGGTATTCTGGGATGTGTAGTCCTCATGGCTCTGACGCCCCTTTCCCCTCCTCCCTGTGGGAAGGCGGATGGGCGCGGGACTTGCCGGGATCTGTAGTTCCCTGGGGCCTCTGGATGCCAAGTTTCGAGCTTTTACTCAAGGGAGGCAAGAACTACAACTCCCAGGGCCGCCCGGCTGCAGCAGGTGGGAGCGGGGCTGTTGATATCAATATGGCGGTTGTCAGCCAGACAAAGACAGTCAGTCTGATGTGATTGAGACAAGGGAGGTTTTCAGGGGGAGACTGGGAGATAGGGGCCTCCCCTCCCCCTTCTCCTCTTCCTGCGCCGGCCTCAACCCCTCCCCAGTCCCCTCCTGACTGGCGCCCCACGCGGAAGACACCCCTCCCCCTCCCGCATTCCCCTCCTCCCTGCCTCAGCCTTTTCGTACTGGGACGTTGGGGAGGGGGCTGTGCCGGGCGGAGAGAACTCAGCAAGGATTCTGAGGTGAGTCGAGCGGTTTTGAAGCCGGACTACCTCAAGTCTCTTTCCTCACTTCTTTCTCTTCACTTTTTTTTTTTTTTCGAGGGGTTTTGGGGAGAAAGTGAGTGGGCTGGGGATGGGTCTCTGAAGCGGCCCGATTGAGAAGAGCGAGGAAATTGGGGCTTCCGAGTGGGTAACCCGAACGCAGGGTGTGGGGTGGGGCACTTTGTGGGGGGCGGTAATTGAAAGGCGTCGGCTGCTCCCCAACTCTTTTCTCCTGGTTTCCTCCACTGTGGGCGGAAGGTTTGAATCCTGGAGGTGGGGTCTCCTGCTTGGAGTTTGGGAAACTGTGAGGTGAATTTGAGGTGTGTGGGTTTGTTTGGGGTTTATAACTGTGTTTTAAACTGTGTGACGTGTACTTGTGTGATATGTTAGTCTTGAATAAATGTCTGTAGATAGGAAGTTAGATAGCTGGAGTCATAGCTTTTAACTGGGCCTGGCCAGAGAAGCGTGCGTGAGGTCCGAGTCCTGGACCTTTGGGCTGGCGACGTGGTGCGGGGTAGCTGGGGTTAGCAACTCGTTTGTGTCCCATTGCCGGCTCACACTTCTCCTCCCCGCCTCCGCCCCCTCCCCTGGACAAATCTCCACCCCAAACTCCTGGCTGAAGAATTTTAGAGATGAGGTGGTTTGGAGATGGATTTTTGCATCCTTAAGTCCATAGATAGGTGGGAAAGGAAAAGTGTTCTTAATATTTTATTCCGGAACCGTGTTTTGGTTACACTGTTGGGGCTACTTTGAAAGGAGTCCTCCACCCACCCTCACCCCGAAACAGTAGGTAGTTGTATCTTGTCTTCATGTTAAATGCAATAAACATTACTTAAGGTTCGGGGGTATGCAGTGGGGGTCTGAAGTGCTGACATGTGTATGCGTCTCTGTGTGTCTACTAAAGACCTAGAATGACTGTTGTGTATCTTAAGATAGGGAGACTTATATTCGTAGTAGGAAAAACTGTTGGAAATTATTTGGGGGCGGGGGCAGTAGCAGAAAGGCGCCGCTTGTATTTTTCATCTACCCCACCCTGTTCTGTTTCGGATTTGTCTGAAAGCTGGTATGGAAGAGTGAGGAAGCATTGGGTGAGTAAAGGATGGAAGGGAGTTGACTTGAAAGATACTATACTGTGCAAAGTTGAATGGTGTAAAGTGATTGCTGCTCTTTACCTTGAAGCTTGTAGAAACCCTTTTATATCTAATAGGGTAGAGTGATATGACTAGTTCATTTCTCTGGGATCCTTCAGGTATAGAAACCTCCGTCTTCCTTTCTCTCCTTCCTTCCCTTCTTCCTTCTTTCAGTCCTTCCTTTCTTTCTTGGCATGCTACATTTCTCTTCCTGGATGGACATGATGCCTCCTGTGCCTGTTTATTTAGTTTGTGCTAATATGATTGTGCTTTTTGTGGTTTCGCTGTAAAATGCATCATTAGATGAAAAGGACTTGCATTTGTTTTTGTTTTGCATTTATGCCACAGGTAATTGTCATATCAGGATTGAAGTGCATTGCATTAAACTAATTTTAAAATTGCACAACTAAGTTGTTAGATCTAGGTGAATTGGAATATTTGAATTCTGATTTTTTTTCTCAAGTTTAAAGTAGAGTTATAAAGGCAAGAGGATTGCAACATCTTTTTTTCTCACAGTCTTTAATATTTAATAACATTATACCAGGAGAATTTAAGTCCATATGTTTTGTAGTTTTTTCAGTCTAAAATTAAAATTTTTCACTAATCTTTTTTCTGTGACAGTTGTGTGTGTGTGTGTGTGTGTGTGTCTGTGTGTTGTGTGTTGTGTGTAATGGACCTTTACATAACTAAAGGAATTGGCATAATTGCTTTTCTAACTGTTGAGACTTCAAAGCATTTACATATTTGGCTCCAAAGTTATCAATTCTCGAACCTATGAGTAAAGGATTACATAAAAACTGCAAAGTCCATAAGAACTAAAAAGTCACATAGGTACAATATGTAGTTTTATGGTTTGTCTTATAATCTTTGATTTGAAATTTCTGCAGTTGATCATTCACACAGATATGCTGATTATAAATATGAGGCGGTATATATATTTAGAATGACCTGAATAGAAAAAAAATTGATGTCTTTTAAATCTCAAATTTAGTATATAAAATATGTTGATACAAGGCTGAACCTTTGGTATGTTATAGACTAGGATTTCCACAATTTTTTTTGTTTTAATCTTCTATCTTAACCTGAAATATTACTTTCCAAAAACTGGAGGAAAATCCTGTATAATTATATAATAGAATATATATTTGCTGAAAGATATATTTTTAGATGTAATTCTTAGATGTTCAATACTTATTTTAGAAATAAAAAACTCAAATGTTTAAGAGTTGGAAAAATATTCTCTTTCACCTTCCCTACCTCAGATTTTCTGTTTGTTTTCTTCCGTGGAAATGCAAAGTAGTTACTGGGAAAAGCTTTCACTAAACTTTTTCTGACTAGTAGTCTGGTTGAAATCACTAAAGGTTTAGTAAACCGAACCTATTCCTTGCATTTAGCGGAGGTGATTCTGTTGCATTTTAAGCACTGAGCATTAAAATGATGTAAAGCCTTTACTGCAGGTTAAAACATAAAACACTGTCAGCATGTGGAAGTCATATGGTTTATGAAAAAAGTAGAAAATCAGGGCATGGTGCCTGTCCAGCTTAAAATTTCATCCCGTAACTGTGAAAGACACATTTATTTTAATATGATTGCTTCTAAAAATGTTGCCTGTATTATGGGAAGTTGAGAATCCAAACTGTTTTTAACCAATCTGTTGCTAGTTTAGTGTACTGCATATCATGAATACTGTGGTTGCAAATGTGCATCAGGGAGCCTTTAGGGGTCGGCTGTATGTTGAATGTCTTTCGTGAGGCTTCATTTTCACTGCTCTATGAACAGATATCACTCTTCTTAGCACAAATCCATAGTTGAAGCATCATTAGGAGAATTGGTAGGTTATAAAATATATTGCATCATATCTCATCATTTAATCATTTTTGAAAAATAGAAGTAACCAGTTTATGGCAGTTTTTGTAGTATCTGTTGGAATGGCATTGCTTGTTTCAGTAGACGTTGAACACATTGGGGATATTTATACTAAATTTGTTCATTTGGGGTCTTTTGTATGTTATATTTAGTCCATCCCACTTTTAAATGTTGCAGACAGCTTCCATGTTTCCTGTAAGACCGTGTTTGCTTTTCTGGTTCATTTCTTTGCAGCTCTTGCATCTCTTATTTTTGTCTACAGATTTTGAAACTCGAATTATTTCTCTTGGAAATTAGAAATTTACCCTAGGATGTCATTTTTCATAAATGAAAGTTAGTGTAGCACTTAGCCTTTTAAAAATGTGAACATTTATAGGTAAACTAGAAAGTGCTCAGTGAAAATGTGTTAAATTTGTTTGTTTTGAGCACCTGCTCTATTTAGGTTTTTTTTTTTTTTTTTTGGCTTCCAGAGTTAATTTTGTAGCTCCCTTTGCTTTTGGCTAGATTTTTCTCTTAACTGCTGGCTTTTCCTTCTCAATTTAGTAGAACTTTAATTTATAAAAAAATTGTTATGAGTGGAAATCACAGCTTGTCTAGAGTGTCATATAGCTACATTTACATATGCACTCACATAAAGCACCATTATGTTTGTTTATATATGAAATTGGTGTATATTTGTGAGATGTACAGCCTGTAAAAAAGGTATCTGAACCACAGATAACAGGAGACCACACAGTGGCTCAAACTAGAAACCGGAATAACTACCACCATATGCTGTCCACATTTTAGGAGCCACATTTCAGTATCATTATAAAGCATTATTCTAACAGATTCTGCCAAAATCTGTTTCTCTCAAAATGGAAGCTATTGGTATTGAAATTTTTCTCAAAATAATATTAATTAATATGTGACTTAGATTCTTAGGTGCAGCTGTCTCCCCACCTGACCCTTACTGGTCTTAGGGCCCATCATGAGTACAGAGTAAAGACTTTTCTAATTGATTATTTGAGTTATAACTTTTAGAATCTGTTAAACTTAATCCAGTGCTTTAGATAACTTGTTTTTCTTGATCTTAGATGAAACAAGTTGGAAATTTACTATAACATTATCTTGGACACTTTCCAAGAGCATTTAGTTACTGGAAGGCTTTGGCTCTAGCATAGTTTTACCCTTACAGTGGTAATAAGGTTGAAGTTACAGTAAGTTTTTCCAATAGTTATTATAATTCTAATGCAGTACTTTATAGATCCTTGACTTGAGGTACAAGGACAGCATTTTTTATTTTTGTTTTTTTCATTTTTCATTATTCAAAGGAGAAAAAACTGTATTTAGCTTTGAAGTTTTGAGTTATTTTAGTTTTTTTTGAATTTTAAAATAGGTGTCCATAGACCCTTTCTTATAAATGATTAGATGATTCTAATTTATTCAAAGGGAATTTAAGTTTTCTTAAACCTTAGAGTGCCAATTAGATAAGAATGTTTACTAAATTGCACATATTCTTTGTAGCTTCTCTGTCTTATGTTCAGTGATGGTCTGTGTGTGGTTTATCAAAAACATTTAATGGCTCTCTTTACTGCATACATATTAAACAATTAGTGTGGTGTTACCAAGGGGCAGTAATTTTAATGTATATAGTTATAGTTTTCAGAAAGGGAAAGTCAAATGATGTGGCTATTGCTGAAAGGAGGATGACCTGAGACTAAATTTATCTGCTTCAAGATTTTGATAAAGTAGTGGTGTGATTAAAATGTGAAGCTGTAGGGTTGGGCCTAGTCAGTCAAGCCTTGACATTCTGATTCTCCACATCCAATCATAGAATCAAGTTGATTTTACATCTTTTGTATCTATCGGTTCACTTCTTTTCATTATATGCTATTCCCTTAATTCAGGCCTGCATCATTTCTGTCTTGCCACATCAGTCTCTTAACTAATCTTCCTGCTTTCAGTGTTTTTTCTTAGTCATTTTTCACTCCTACTGAGAGG